GACAAGAGTTCTTTCTCCCATCTTGGACATTCCACAGATATATAAATCCTATTTTCCTAGTTTCCAACAGACCTCACAACCTCTGATCATACCTGTCATAGATGCAAGCAAAATGTCAGGAGAGAATGCTTCTGGAACATGGCCATACAGCCCAAAAAACTCACATCAACCCTATTTCTTAGAACATGTAATGGCCAATTCCTTTTATTTGCTAAAATAACGGAAATAAGACTTAAACATACATTAAAACAATACAAAATATATGGAATTTATTTTAGAGTTTTATCTTACATATGAAATTTATTTGTTATTTGTAAGACCACTAGGCCATGAAACTGGTCCTTTAAGCATCATAGAGTTTTGTTAATATAAAAAGAATGACATAATAAAACCACCGATCTAAAAATTCAGCGGTCTTACACCAACAAAATAAAAATAGAGATGCAAATGCAAAAGCTTGCATAATTAGAGTGCAAAACATTATGGTGACTATAGTAGTGAATATGATTTCTTGGAGTCACAAGAAAAATTCTTAAGGACAGGAGAGCCAGAAAAGGAAGGTCAGCATTTTTAGAATACGCAGAATTCAAGGCTCTGCTGGAAAATATTCCTCCTCCTTCCTTGTTGGCCCTTTAAGCCATTCACCATCTGATTTTTAAAGTGTGGGTTAGTTGGAAAATTGAGAGATTTGTTGCTTGACTAGGAGCAATATGCAGCACTGTTGGAATTAAGCATGTTAATGATCCTTCAATTTTATCTTCTCTGGAAGATGAGTGATTATCTCAAATGTCACTCACATTTCTCATAAGTCTCAGTTGCCCTTGAGATACTCCGCCTCTTTTGATGGCTTCCTGAGCACACTACTTGGTGTTAATGACTTTCAACAAAATTCCTTAGTTACTTCATACTGGCCAATAACACCTTATTCCTCTTACATGTCAACTCTGACCCTGTTCTACATTTTTCCTGGCAAAAAAAATTATTCTGAGGAAGTGTGCCATTGCTTTCCCATTAGACATAGAGAGTGGGACATGTCCAAGGTGTCTTAGTGGAGTTCCTTTCCAGAATAGGGATTTGAACCCTGGTACCCAGAGTTGTATTTGAACACTCAGTCATACTGGCTCTAACATTGGGCTAGAATTATTTATTTATTTATCATGTCAGTAGCAACCAGACAATTGTATTACATTTTAAACAATTTTTTAACAAACAGACAAAACAGAGTTTGCAAGCTTGGTAGTTGATTAAATGTCCTTTGACCAGTATCTGGCCACTTGGAGTGCCTCTGGTGTTGCCACAAGAAGGTCCTCCATTGTGCATGTGGCGGGACTCAGGTTGCATTGCAGCAGGTGGTTAGTGGTTTGCTCTTCTCCACACTCGCATGTCATGGATTCCACTTTGTAGCCCCATTTCTGAAGGTTGGCTCTGCATCTTGTGGTGCCAGAGCACAGTCTGTTCAGCGCCTTCCAAGTCACCCAGTTTTCTATGTGCCCAGGGGGGATTCTCTCATTTGGTATCAGCCATTGATAGAGGTTCTGGGTTTCAGCCTGCCACTTTTGGACTCTTGCTTGCTGAGGTATTCCAGCGAGTGTCTCTGTAGATCTTAGTAAACTATTTCTAAGACTAGAATAATAGAATCATAGAGTTGGAAGAGACCTTGTGGGCCATCCAGTCCAATCCTCTGCTAAAAAGTAGGAAAGTCACATTCAAAGCACCCCTGACAGATGGCCATCCAGCCTCTGTCTAAAAGTCTCTAAAAAGGAGCCTTCACCAGAGAGTTCCACTGATGAACAGCTCTCACAGTTAGGAATTTCTTTCTCATGGAATTTCATCCCCTGTATACTATAATGCTAAAACTCTAGATTCCATTTTATCAAATAAGATGTACTTTTATCAATAAATCGTCATGTTCATTTTTAAATAATTATTTTTTTCTTAAACACAACTTACATGGTAACATTCTGAGGATAAGGCCAATTATTTTTCCAAAAATACCTGCATTTTTATTGGTGGTAAGAGGTTTTGTAGAATGCTTTTTGTACAATAGGTTGTGGAAGGCTTAAGTCTTCAAAAACTATTTTATTAATGGATTAGACTCAGGGCACATTATGCAGCTCAGAATCTGCATGAATAAGGCCAGTTCCAAGATGGATTGAGGCCAAACAAGAGTGACCTGAACCACTTTGGTGGCGGGACACCAACCCAACTGCCTGCAGGGCTAGGCATGAAATCAGGTTCTACCCTTTCTGCACCCATGATTTCCCCCTAGAGATGAAAGATGTTTCCATGACTATAATCCCCCAAATTTTAATCTCTTAACATTCCATATTTACATTTTCCAAGCATTATTAGATTTTCCTAATTACCTTTATAGCTGCATATACAAAAATATATTTTTATGGTATAGGTTTTGATTTGTTCCGGTGATTATTTGTTAGTTTGCCAAATATTTCTGTTACAAACGATTCATATGATTTTGCTACTAAGTTCCTGTGATATTTCCCTCATAATATACTAGATGACCTCTTGAGGTCCCGTCTCAATTCTATGATTCTGTCTCCTTTCCATTTCTAAAAATGCAAAAAAGGGAACTTTTTTGGGATAAATATAGCTGAGAATAATGTACCCTCCCGGGGAATTTTTCAAGAGCCTTTACATTCCTCCAAAATACACACACACACACAAGGTTTCCCCTGCCACATGTTGCTGTGGCCCACTTTGTGTATGCATGTGTATGTATATATTTGTGTATATATGTGTGTTTGTGTATATATGTGGTTTTGCGCATGCAGTGTAGCGCCTTTTTGCTTTTTTGCTTTTTAAAGTCCTTTCCACTGTGTTTTTCGGGGTTTTTTTATGAGTGATAGTCACTTGTTGGCCTGATAGGTGTATTGTGTCCAAATTTGGTGTCAATTCGTCCAGTGGTTTTTGAGTTATGTTAATCCCACAAACGAACATTACATTTTTATTTATATAGATATATTCAAATAATGTTAAGAACCTCACATTATCTGCATCTTGTATAATTATTTTATCTAAAGCCAAAATATACTCTATCTGTAATCAATTGATATTTATATTTTGTAATTTATCATCTATTTGCTCTATTATGGTGTATTTGCTGGAGCTTTTCATGTCTCTTGTTTGTAATAAACTCATTGAAGACCATTGTTTTAAATAACTGAGGTTTTCAGAACTATTGATTTGTGGCACTAGAAGAGTCTCAGTGGAGAGGTAAGGAAGCTAATACCTTATACCAGAGTTTCTCAGTCTTCCTAATGCTGTGACCCCGTAATACATGTTGTGGTGACCCCCAACCATAACATTATTTTCATTGCTACTTCACAAGTAATTTTGCTACTGTTATGAATCGTAATGTAAATATCCAATATACAGGATATATTCATTGGACCAAATTTGGCACAAATATCAGATATGACCAAATTTGAATACTGATGGGGTTGAGGGAGGGTGGTGGTTGAGGGAGGGTGGTTTTGTCATTTGGGAATTGTAGTTGTGGGACTTATAATTCACCTACAATCAAAGAGCATTCTGAACCCCACCAACAATAGAACTGGGCCAGATTTCCCACACAAAACCCATATGCCTTGAAGGGACTCGCTGGCGTGAGCCTCCCTCCAGCCTTGCACGCTCTCTCTCACCCACACATGTGCATGACTCTGCCATACGCAGAGCACGCCTGCTCTCCTCTCCCTGCTTGGAGTTTCAGAAACAGCCTTCTCCTTGGCTGTAAGGCTGGCCAGTCACGGTGGAGGAAGGCTTTTGGAGGGAGGATTTGCCAACTGTTTCCAAAAAGGAAGAGAAGGACAAGCAGAGAGATCCTCAGCCTTCTCTGCCAAAGACCATCAGAAATATATGCTTTCTGATGGTCTTTGGTGACTCCTCTAAAACCCCCTCGTAAACCTCCAGGGGTCCTGCCCCAGGTTGAGAAACGCTGCCTTATACTCTTACACTATATTTTCAATAATTCTCCCAAGAAGAGGTTATTTTATTGTTCAGTTAGCATTATTTTGATCTTTAATAAACTTTGTAAATTGTGGATGCAAGGGTGACTTGGAAAGCACAATAATAATAATAATAATAATAATAATAATAATAATGATGATGATGATGATGCGGTATTGCCAGATCTCTTCCTTCCACTCTGTTATTTTAGCTGTTTCAAAAGTTGTTATTATAAAATTATCTCTTTGTCCCCCTCTATAAATATGATAGATACTATTGGAATTGTTTAAATTTTTTAAAAAAATGAATAACAAATATTTGTATAAGTCTTTGTAAGTGCTCTTTTAAGAAGGGACCAAATTTTAATTTTCCAATGAAGTAATTTCTTAAAAATTATAATTTCTAATAATAAATTGATTGAGAGACTTGCCTCATATTAGTCTCAAAAATGTGAAACCTGGTAGTCATAGGATTGTATCTATATTTTTATTAGTAAACAGACAGTTGCCTTTTTGAACCGATTTATAATTCTGAGCATCTTGAGGAAATATTTTAATAGGAATTTTAAAACAGAAATTGCTTTTTCTGTGTTTGTAAATATAATACAGTGTGCATTGAACATTAATTCCTTGGATGTTTGTTACATATGTGTTAGAGATTGTGCTGTTATAGCAAACAGAAAAGGAAATAGTGGACACCCTCCTTTTTGTTAATGATATTCATTTGGAATCAATGTTATTAACACTAAATAAGGGTGTTGAATTTTGATGCAACCTTAAAATCAATGAAATAAAATAATTTGCATTTTTGTAATAATCTAAATATCTAATACAGTTCAACCCAATCTAAAGCTTTATATATAAAGTGTATTCATATCTTATTGCACCTGATAAATCCTTTCCTGACATAAAACCAATTTAATTATGCTATGAAAGAATTTATTCTCTTGAATAGTGCTTTTTTATGATGCTGTACATTATTTTGGTTGTCTGGCATGTATACCTGAGTTTTCTTTTTCATTTGTTTTTTTTTAGGTTATTCTGATCCTCACCAAGTATTACCACTCTGATATGGGCAAAGTATTGGAGAGTTCTTTGTGGAGGTATGTTTCTTGATATAAATGTATGTACCTTGCTTGAATATGAAGAAATTGGGATTGTTTTGTGGTTCTTTTTGAACATCTGAATTGCCAGATTGTAAAGGATCAGCCAGTCTATGGTCTGTTTTCACAGAAGATGCTATGGGTTGTGCTTCTAAATATTGAGTGAAGAAAAACTTAAACAGGTTTTAATGCATCAGGGCAAAATATGCAGTTTTCCCAAGACTGTACAGTGGAGTAGTAGAAATCATGGGATTTGCTGATGATTATATTTATTTTTTAAGGGATCATGTTGGCACAGAAGGTTAAACTTCTCAGCTGCACACCTTGCTGATCGGAAGGTCAGCAGTTTGAATCCACAGATGGGGTGAGCTCCTGTTGTTAGCCCCAGCTTTTGCCAATCTAGCAGTTTGAAAAAATGCAAATGTGAGTAGATCAATAGGTACTGCTTCTGTGGGAAGGTAATGGTGCTCCATGCAGTCATGCTGACTTTGGAGATGTCTATGGACAATGCCGGCTCTTTGGTTAGAAATTGAGATGAGCACCACCCCCCAGAGTCAGACACGACTAGACTTAATATCAAGGGTAACCTTTACCTTTTATATTTATTTCTTACCTGCCTCTTCCTGTGCAAGTAAATACAGCAACAAATAGATACATGACACAGTTAAAAATATGAACACTAATTAAAAATACATTAAAATACAGTTAAAAGGGCATAATATCAGTTTTAAAAGCATACATATTAAAAACAACCAATTCATAATTTAAAACCCATCTGGATAGACTTGCTGAAGAGAATGATCTTTAATGATGTTTTCAGTGCAGACAGCATATCTATTCCACAATGTGGGGGTGGCTGATGAAAAGGTCCTCTGATTAATTAGTTTCTAGGCAAGTTAATTCTTAATTCTGGCTAACTTAAGTGAATATTCTGTAGAAGACTTGAGTGTCCAGGACACGTTATATGGAGAAGGCAATCTTCTAGGTAACCTGGACCCAAAGCATGCAGGACTTTAAAGATCCTACAAAACCAACACTGTGTAACTTGCCTAGAAACTAATTAGTAAAAGGTTCACTCCTAGACATACCAGGACGCATTCTGGCTGCCATGTTTTGCACTAATTGAAGTTTTCAAACATGGTACAAAGGTACCCCTATGCCCAACTTTGAAGTTGCCAGTGCATCTGCTACCATCTTTAGATCATCTAGCTCTTGAAAGGGGGCACAGTTGGTGTATCAGTTGAAGCTGATAATATGTACTCCTGATCATCATATATATGAAGATATGGGCTGTCATTTGTACCCAGAGGCACCCCAAGCTGAGAACACAGTCTTTCAGGAGAAGTGTAATCCCATTCAGACTGTTTGTGCCCTCTCTTAGAAACATTTTGGCTTGTTGACGCATGCATTGAATCTTGATTTCAGGATAAAAGGTAAAGGTTTCCTCTTGACATTAAGTCTCATCGTGTCTGACTCTGGGGGGTGGTGCTCATCACCATTTTTAAGCTGAAGAGCCGGCGTTGTCTGTAGACACCTCCAAGGTCATGTTGCCTGCATGACTGCATGGAGTGCCATTACCTTCCCACCGGAGTGGAACCTATTGATATACTCACATTTGCATGTTTTCAAATTGCTAAATTGGCAGAAGCTGGGGCTAACAACAGGAGCTCACCCTGCTCCCCTGGATTCGAACCTCTGACCTTTTTGGTCAGCAAATTCAGCTGCTCAGCGGTTTAACCTGTAGCATCACCAGGGGCTCTGATTTCAGGATACCATTCATATTATCCAGGGATTGTTTAAGAAAACCATTCTGTTTTAAAACTCTATTGAAGCTGTTTTTCTGTTCTCATTCCTTTAAAAAAAGGCAAGAAAACAGTTTAGAGGTCTTCCTCTGATCCAGAATAGCCACAAAATGGTACAGATTATTATTCTGACTAAAGATACCACACCAAATTGCAATACTTTTGAACTTGTTTCAACTAGTTTTTATGGGAAGTTTTAATAATACATTAAAAAATTTATGGCATCTATAAATTGAAAGTTTCTTGGCAGGATTTGTAGTTTTTAAATTGATGTACATAGTGATGAAAGTTCAATGTGGTGAATGTGATGTTACTGGAAAAAGATATTTAGCTCTTCTCAGTATAGTATGATCTTTGTATCCATGGGGAAATATGTTCCAACTCACACACACTCCCTATGGCTCTCTGAAACCACAGATAATAGCGGACCCAATATTTTGACTGTACTTGGACTGGAATCTTGCTATGGAATCACACTGGAGAGCATAGAGGGGCCAACAAAGACTTTCAGCCTCATCAGATGGGGTAGTTTTCAGCGCCATGCTCTGGTTCCTCTATAGTTTTACAACAGAGCCTGCGTGCTCCCATCCTAAGACGTAAAACTATTTCAGGTGGTGCTCCTTTGTAAAACCTTTGCATGTGACCGTGGCAGCAGTATGGAAGCTTTTAATAATTTAGAAGAGATGTTATCAGAACATGGGTAACTGAGACAAGACAACCTATGCGCATGAGGGGCTGCAGTTGTCAATTTACAAGTTGCACCTAGTAAAAGGATTTTTTAATCAAATTAGCAACATGGAAGGATGGATCAAACCACATCCCCAGACTATGGACCCTTGGCCTTGTTGGTGGGAATTTATAGAAACTGGAGTTCAAAATAATCTGAAAGACTGTAGATTCCGCTTTTCTATTTGCTGAAAAATATACTGTCGTAGACAAATAATTTTCACACCATATGTATTGTCGAAGGCTTTCATGGCTGGAATCACTAGGTTCTTGTGGTTTTTTTCGGGCTATAGGGCCATGTTCTAGAGGCATTTCTCCTGACGTTTCGCCTGCATCTATGGCAAGCATCCTCAGAGATAGTGGCAAGCATCCTCACTACCTCTGAGGATGCTTGCCATAGATGCAGGCGAAACGTCAGGAGAAATGCCTCTAGAACATGGCCCTATAGCCGGAAAAACCCCCACAAAAACCTAATTTTCACACCATTATTTTCTAAATCAACATTGCCTCTATTTTATCTGAGCAAAGCATTGGGGATGTGGGACCCTTTTTTAGTCCGTTACATGCATGTAGACAGTGCACCACTAACAAGGCTGAGCCAAGATTTGAAAGTGTTTGCACCATGTGTCCTCGCTCTGTAATTAAACCTACATGGCTGGACAATGGGAAATATTTTTGTAGTGGCTGTTTTGTCTTTAAAATTGAAAAATGTACAAACGTCTTTGAAATGATACTGGAAATAGCAAAAATAGCCTTCTAATCAAGGTAAAAGAAGAAAATGCAAAAGCTGGGTAGCAGCTAAACATAAAAAATCAAGATTATGGCAACAAGAATGATTGACAACTGGGAAATAGAGGGAGAAAATGTGGAGGAAGTGACAGACTTTGTATGTCTGGTGCAAAGATTACTGCAGACGCAGACTGCAGCCAGGAAATCAGGGGACGCTTACTTCTTGGGAGGAGAGCAATGTCCAATCTCGATAAAATAGTGAAGAGTAGAGACATACATGGCAACGAAGATCCACATCATTAAAGCAATGGTATTCCCCATAGTCACCTACAGATGTGAGAGCTTGACCATAAGGAAGGCTGAGCGAAGGAAGATAGACGCTTTTGAACTGTGGTGTTGGAGGAAAGTGCTGAGAGTGCCTTGGACCACGAGAAGACCCAACCAGTCCATACTCCAGGAAATAAAGCCCGACTGCTCATCGGAGGGAATGATAGTAGAGGCAAAAATGAAGTACTTTGGCCACATCATGAGAAGAAAAAAAAGCTTAGAGAAGACAATTTATTTTATTTATCGTGTCATCCGCAACCAGAACATTGTATTACATTTCTAACAGAACAAAACAAACAAACAGATAAAAAACACAAATTTTGCAAACTTGGTAGCTGATTAAATGTCCTTTGACCAGTATCTGGCCACTTGGAGTGCTCTGGTGTTGCCGCAAGAAGGTCCTCCATCGTGCATGTGGCAGGGCTCAGGTTGCATTGCAGCAGGTGGTCAGTGGTTTGCTCTTCTCCACACTCGCATGTCGTGGATTCCACTTTGTAGCCCCATTTCTTAAGATTGTCTCTGCATCTCATGGTGCCAGAGCGCAGTCTGTTCAGCGCCTTCCAAGTCGCCCAGTCTTCTGTGTGCCCAGGCGGGAGTCTCTCATCTGGTATCACCCACTGATTGAGGTGCTGGGTTTGAGCCTGCCACTTTTGGACTCTCGCTTGCTGAGGTGTTCCAGTGAGTGTCTCTGTAGATCTTAGAAAACTATTTCTTGATTTAAGTCGTTGACGTGCTGGCTGATACCCAAACAAGGGATGAGCTGGAGATGTCTCTGCCTTGGTCCTTTCACTATTGGCTGCAACTTCGGAAACAGAAGAACGGCCTGCCTCAGGGGAGCGTGCTCACTCCATCCATTTCAACATCTACACAAATGACCAGCCACTGCCAGAAGGGACAGAGAGCTTCATCTATGCTGATGATCGTGCCATTACCACTCAAGCAGGGAGCTTTGAGATGATTGAACAGAAGCTCTCCGAAGCTCTAGGTGCTCTAACTGTTTATTACAGGGAAAACCAACTGATCCCTCATCCATCTAAAACACAGGCATGTGCCTTTCACCTTAAGAACAGACAAGCATCCCGAGCTCTGAGGATTACCTGGGAAGGAATCCCACTGGAGCATTGCAGCACACCCAAATACCTGGGAGACACTCTGGACCGTGCTCTGACCTACAAGAAGCACTGCCTGAATATCAAGCAAAAAGTGGGTGCTAGAAACAACATCATACGAAAACTGACTGGCACAGCCTGGGGATCACAACCAGATACAGTGAAGACATCTGCCCTTGCGCTATGCTACTCTGCTGCTGAGTACGCATGCCCAGTATGGAACACATCTCACCACACTAAAACAGTGGATGTGGCTCTTAATGAGACAGTTATGCTGGGGAAAGTGGAAGGTAAAAGGAAGAGGGAC